CAGTTAAATTTGAATTTCAGATAGACAATGTGTGATTTGTATAAGTGTGTCCCAAATATTGGAAGAGATAAACTAGCTTTTTTAAAATCTAAAATTCAAATTTAACTGACCATACTATTTTTTTGCTTTGCTAAATCAGGGAATCTTAGTCCATGTGGACCTAAAATCTAGTTCTATACCCGCTGGTGGTTAAGCATGACCACATTTGCAATGTCTAGTGAAAATTCCTGTCCCACCCTCATGGAGCTTCCGGTTGAGCAGAGAAGTCAAAGAGACTATTTCTAGAATCAGTATTTAACATGAAAAAACTGTGTTTCTGATAAACATCCACATAGTAAACGAGACATCTAAGGGCACATCGAGTACTCATATAGGAAAAAAATACATCCCAAAGTTTTTCCAGTTGCCTAATGATGATAATATATTAATGGAAGCCTGGAAAGCTTAGTCAAAATGGCTTGGTTGCAGTTTTAATCTAACAACCACAATATTGAGATCAGCGTAACCTTGGTCAAATTGCTTAACTTCTCTGTACTTCCTTTTAAAATGTGTGTGTGTGGGAGGGGCTGAGCTGGGGCTAGGAGAGTAACCAAACTCTGTTGCCTAACGAAATGACTGTCAGGCTAAATGTGTAACTTCATAATATGCATCCACATTCGGAGGAGGGCAGAGGCAAAAGTCAGGTCAGGAGCATTCATTACCAAGTTTTAAGTTTTTGTTGCAAAATGCACAAACCTGGAATTGGAGCCAGGCAATTGCAAAAATGATTCCAGATCTGCATGGTAACAATTTAGACTGACTTCCACTCCTGCCTGAAATTTAGCAGCAGAGGAAGTTCTTTTCCTGGACGGCTGCCTTCACTTGGCCTCCCCCCTTCCCTCAGTACTTCAGGCTGCTCACTCCCCACATCTGTTTCCAAACCATAGAGCACAGGGTCACAGCATGGCGCAATAAGCAGCATTAGCAGGCAGCATGAATCAGTGGTAAACCTTTGATTTTAATTCCTTGCTTCTCCTAGAGAGGAAGTGTGGTCTAGTGGTTAACCCACTAAAAATAAAAAGCAGCTAGAAGGCAAAATTCCTGGTCCTTTCCATGCCCGGATGTCCCTGTTCAATTCTTATTGGGACACCAATCATATGTGTGTGTGTGTGTGTATATAATTTTTTTTTCCCTCAGTGTTGCTCTACAATGTTAGTCCCTGAATTGGCCTGATCATAAGACACACTTGGGAAACTGGTTAAACAATTTCTGAGCCCCTTCCCAAAAGTTCCCAAGAAAAGGCCTAGCCATCTATTTTTAGCAAGCATTATAGACCTGCCCTTATAATCAGACTCAGCTCCACTGTATGCTGGTGACATATTACACGAATGAAAGGAGAGCCTTGCAGGAAAACATAGCAAGAGGACCGAGGGGGAAAAGAGCATATCTACCATAGGGTTTGCTCAAGTGAAAGAGGAAAAGGAGTTAGCCATAAAGAGATCCAAATTCTTGTTTTGGCTCTGTGTATCTAGAGTCGGGGTAAACCTGGGCAGGTCAATGAAACTCTCCTGTTCTCATTTTTTATCGTCTTAACAATAAAAGTGACTAGATCACCTCTTTCAGTTCTGTGAGTCAATGAATTATTTCTGTGATTTCACAGAAATGCCAAGACGGACTCGGAACATCTCTTTTCCTGAAAATGACTGTGGGTGAAGTCACAGAGGTGAGGATGGGCTTTTTCCCCCCGGCTGCGAGAAGATGGTGGAAACCAGGGATGACGGGGAAGTTTGGGGCCAGAGCTGCAGGGACATTTCTCCCCACCCTCCTCTCTGGAGGCTCTGCAGCTGGCCTACTTATGCAAAGGTTTTGGCTCTTCTTTTCTTTTAAAAAAGCTTTCTGACTTGTACATCCCCCTGAGGAGCACAGATTCATTGTTTTGAGGAGAATTGGCACACGGTTTCCTGAAAGGAAGAAAGGCGTTGGGAGGACTTGGGTGGATTAGCGAGTGGGGCCAGGCTTGGTTGCCAAAGAAATGAGTCTCTCCATGTGTGATAAACATATACCTGTCACATCACTGGCCCTGGATATGCCCAGCAAAACCCTTTGGCCCACTTCCACAATGCCTAGAAGTGTGTTCTCCTTCATGGACTGGACATCCGCCTACTCATCCGTCTCTGGAGCATTTGGGCATTCTTCCACCCCAGAACAAGTGGGGGGTGAGTTAGGAGAAGGAGGAGTGAGTCATGATTGTAGGAAAAGGATGTCTTATGAAGCCAACGCAGAACTCGCTTCCTAGAAACATCATGACAGGTCCCATAAAGCCCACGTTTGGTTCTAATTATAACATGCCCACATTTGAGCATTTTTAGTTTTCCCATGGTAACAACAGGGTTTCTGAGGAAGAGGACATTGACTCAAATGTGCTCTATATGTCTAAGAGTGGGAACTTCTTGGACTTTTTAAATTTTTAAAAAAATTTTTTTAAGAGCAGTTATTTTTGCTGTCTTACAAAGGAGATACTCTGGTTTGTCTATGCCTATTAACATATCTATAAACTGGGCTTAAGCACATTAGATAAAAAGGGCAAAATGAGTTTCATAAAATTAAAAAGGTATTTTTAAAGACCAAGATGAGCAACATGAAGAAAATCAGAAAAAACGTCTTAAATAAATAGGATTTGTTTTCCCCTCTACTTGAGACAAATGGCAATCTAAAACAAAACAAAACATCAAATATTTATTTTAAGCCCAATTTTGAAAGGATGCTATGGACACTTAATTACAGCTCCATTATCCACCCTCTCTAGTTCTACTCAACAATGATCGCTCTTCCTGAGAACAATCAGAAAGCAAGTGTCATAGTCCTTTGAAAAGTCCACTTATGTTCAAGTGTGGTTTTTTTGTGATGTGTTATTTTATTTTTAAAATGTTGGAAAGTTGCTACATTTTAAAAATTCTTAATGATAACTTTTAATTATGTCCCAGTTTGTCTTTATTTTAGATAAATGAAAAAAAAGATTTTTATTGATCCATTCTTCACCACTGTTCATCATTTAGATACCAGAGATTCTGGCCAGAACCTGGCAAGTTGAAGAGAAAACTTTTTCTGTAGTATGAAAGATTCCTGGCTGGAGCACTAAACCTAGGAGACATCATAAGGGAAGAGGGATTTCCCTGACTACCCTGGAGATGGAGCTGAGGAACAGTGTGTGCCCCAGCTCTGAGCTGGCTTGAGGCTGGTTGGAATTTTAAAATTTTTTAACTCTCCAAAAGTTGGCATAAGTGGCATTTAAAAAAGGAAGAGAAGTACTGCCTATCTGTATTTCAAGATTGCCAAATGAGTCTTTACTCTGAAAATCTCAGCAGTTAATGAAACATTGGCGTGGTTTTTAAACCTCACCACAGGAAATAAGGATGATCAAAAACATGTTGGCCATGTTTTGAAATTTTCCAGAAGTATAAGAGATTCTCTTCCTGTATAAAGAACAATGACCTCAGGTTTAATAACTTCTTAGAAAATGATTAAGGCAAAATATGCATGCTTTCCTCAAACTTAGTTTCTTCAGATAGATCCTTGGAATTTTGCACAATAAATTCAGGAAGTTTCTTGTAGTTTATTTTCATGATAAATAAAATAATATGTAATTATTTTCATCACAATTTTAAGCTTATTTGCTGATTTTTACAAAATACCCTTTTGCCAAAAACTGGGGCTACATGAAGAGAGCAGTTATGTTTTGAGGAAGGTCCCTAATATATTGCAGGAACTATAATTATTGATCAAATTATCAATGGCGTCTGACAGAGCAAAATATAGTAGATAATTTTTATACAATTTATATATCTTACCATGTGCCAGACACAAATTCAAGTACTTAAGAAGAAAGCAGTATTTAGTTGATTCTCACAGCCACCTGAATCCCCATTTACAGATGACCAATGGAGGCACAGATAGATGACATAAGTGGAGAGCTTGACTACTACTACCACTCTGAGAGTCTGTCTCTTTAGTCTGTGTTCTTAATGCCTATACCAGCTATATCGCATCTTTGAAAAAATGACCAACCCTGTCCATTGTTGAAAATGGAGTTGAGGTAAAAGTATTCAAAAGACCCAAACTCTTGGAATTTAGTACTATGTCCAACAAGCACTTTCTAGAAAAGAGTCAATAAGAGGAGTCCTTTGTTGTGACCGTAGAGTATTTAAGGTCTATGATATACTACCTGAGTGAGTTATAAGAGGACAAAGGCCATCAGATTAAATGCTTCGTTTTCTTTATCAACTGAAATATCCTTGAGAACTGTCATAAAGGTATGTTTCCTATCTATAAGGAACATGTGGTTTGATAAAGGCAGTTGCTCACATTTGATAAGCTCTTCTTGAAAAATTGCTACATATAGGGCAGTGAGTAAGCCAGCATGTTGGCCTTCCCAGTGGGTTGAAGCCTGGACTGGGAAAAGGACATTCACCGTGGAGTGTGGGAGAGGACAGGGTAGATGGAAGAAAAGACACTACAAGAGCAGCAGGATGGCCTCCAAGCCCCAGCATAGAATTCCAGGATGGCTTCCAAGGAGGTGGTACCTGAGTGGAATCCTCTAGAATGGTTTTCACGCCCCATTTCCATATCACTGCATCCTCTCATCTACATCAAAACTTATAACTACTAGTTTTAAAGATATAATCTATTCTTATTTTCTATTCATCTGTCTTTCCATTTAATACCCAGGTTAAATGCTGGGATCAATCTCAATAGAAAATAGCTAACGAACCTTGGGCCAGGGTGATTGGTTGTCTCAGAATTGATTCTTTTTGCTTTGGAAGCTCTTCTGATGTTTTCACACTGTGCTATCCTCCCCTTCTGGGCAGGTGGATCTCATTTGCTGATCTTACCTGAGCTTTCTTTGAGCATTGAGCTTTCTTCCACTCTTGCCTTCACTGGCTTTTGTTTTCCATATATTTACATAAGCTAATTTCTGCTTTGTTTATTCCTGTCTCTCTGCTAATTATGTATGAGCTTTGGTTTATGTTTTCTTTTAGACTGGCTGAGCCATGTTTAGTCAAGTCCCTACCCTTAAATATATTTTGGCCTCTTGGTTCACGCACTATTTCCATGCTTCCTGCTTGACGTGCACTCAGTTTTCCACTATTTCAATTAAAAAATTAGAATGCTGGGAGCAGAGAGAACTTAGTACTAGAAGCTCAAGAATGCAATTCAATCGTAGAAATCTTACTGCTCTTTCTCAACCAGAGAAAACTTCAGACAGAAAAGTACTCTCAAAAAAACTTTGACCAGGGCTGGGGATGTGGCTCAAGCGGTAGCGCGCTCGCCTGGCATGCGTGCGGCCCAGGTTCGATCCTCAGCACCACATACAAACAAAGATGTTGTGTCTGCTGAAAACTAAAATAAATAAATAAATGTATACATATTTAAAAAATTAAAAAAAAAAAAAACAAAAAAAACCAAACTTTGACCATTAACTGATATGATATTATGGACATATAAGTTTTTGATGAAAAAGGAATGTTCTAGACTTGGGTAGTCAATTTTAGTTAATAGGTATGTACATTTCCATACTTTTAAACAAAATTAATAGTGGCATGTGAAAATACAAGGTGATATCAGGGTGTGAACATTCATAAAGTGACAATGTCAGCTTGCTATCACCAGATGCTCTGAGCACTGTGCTGAACCTGCTACTGTGAAGGCCGTGGAGGGTGTTTAAGTTAGCTTTCTCACTGCTATAACCAAAAAGCCTGAAGAGAACAATTTTAGAAGAAGAAAAGTTTATTTGGTGCTCAAAGTTTTAGCAATCTCAGTTCACAGACAGCTGACTCCATTGCTCTGGGGCCAAGGTAAGGCAAAACATCAAGGCAGAAGCTGGTGGCAGGGGAAAGCAGCTCAGGACATGGCACCAGAAAGCAGAAAGAGAAAACTCTGCTCACCAAGGATAAAATATAAACCTCAAAGTCATGACTCCAGTGACCTACCTCTTCCAGCCACCCTACCTGCCTATAGTTACCACCCAGTTATTCCATATCAGTGGATTAATCCACCTATCAGATCATAGCTCTCATAACCTAATCATTACCTCTGAACATTTTTGCATTGTCTCATGAGTTTCTGGAGGATACCACACATCCAGACTGTAACAGAGGCAATGTTGTCCAAAGCCTCAAGATGCCACATAAAAGATTCGATTTTGAGATTTGAAAAAGGCCAAGAGGAGTACAGGTTAGGAAACTGAATATTGCTGTAGAAACTCTCAGACACTCACCTTTAATACTTTGAATTTGTATTCTGTAAACACTTTCTGCTGTTAAAAAGAAGAAACTAGTTCTCAAGGCATAAACTGTCCTCACTCTCAAAGCCTATCCCTGCCACACATACCGTTTCTGTCTTCAGAATGGAAATACCAAAAAGCACTCCCTCAGTCCGCCAATCATTTTCTCAAGATCCTGGCATGCTAGATTGATTTTCCTTCTTTCCCTCCTCTTAAACCAGCCTCTTCTATCTAGAGACTTCGCCACTGTCACTATCTTCTTATCAGGCACCAACAGCATGGCTGTTATTCCACTCTGTGTATGGAGAAAAGATGGGTTAAAGTTGGCATTATAAGAATGTGAGATGCAGCAACCAAAAGTTAATGTCTGTGCTCCTACCCAACTTTATTGCTCTGCGGAATAAACATTGAAGAGGGACATATTGGAAATGGTGACTGAAGCAGTTTATAATCTGAAGCCACGAGGGCACTATTTCTTAGACTCTTTTATTAGATCTCCTGCATCAACACAGAACAAATGTGGTCAGTGAAGATGCAAATTTCTGGGCTCTACCACAGATTTACTCAAGTAGAATTAAATAAAGGAATGTGCTCCCCCTTCTCCTTCAGTGTAGGAATTGAACCCAGGGGAACTTGTCTTCCACTGAGCTATATCCCAGAGTCTCTTTAAGTTGCTAAGCCTTCCTTCAAACTTGTGATCCTCCTTTAGCCTCCTGAGTAGCTGTGATTACAGGCACAGGCCACTATACCCTGCTTGGAAATGTGAATTTTTTTTTAACATGCTTTCTATGTGAGCCTATTGATCATATGGGGAAAAGTACTCTAGCAATGTGCTTACGATAGGCAAAAGTCATGTAATTGTTAAATAAAATCATACCTGGCTCCAAAGAAATCGGTCAAAGTCTTATGATTATTGGATACATTATAAGGAGAGGGAGGTGAAGTGATGCTTAAAAAGAATTAAGTGGGGAAAAAAAAATCTCTTTGTGACAGGGAATAAGGGCAGGGAGACTTACCCTCTTATGGTTTCAGTACCATCACAGTACTGGTTAAACTGTCCTTCGTCCTCTGCCTGTGGAGAAAGAGCAAAAGCCATGTGGCTGTGACCCAGACTAGAAAGCATTTTATTCTTACTCAAAAAAAGGATGCAGTGTATGTTGATGACAATTACCATTAAGTAAGGGAAACAAAGGTAGTTGAAATGGCAATTCTCAATTTTTTGTGTCCTCTGGAGATTTGAACACTATATATATATATTTTAACTTGGGATTGAACCCAGGGGCGCTTAACCACTGAATCAATCCTCAGACCCTTTAGAAAATATTTGAGTTACCAAATGCCTGGCTAAATTGCTGAGGCTGGTTTTGAACTAGCGATCCTCCTGCCTCAGCCTCTCAAACTGTCGGGGATTACAGGCATGCATCACCACACTGTGCAACACTAGAATTTTTGGCAGCCCACTTGAAGGGAGCTAAAGACATAGAAGGCTTTCACAATTGTTGCTCATTTCTCACCTGGCTGGCATTGGCATCCTGCTGCCCTGTGAGGAGACCTAACGACTTCCTTTATGTCCCTCCTGGGCTCTTTTAGACATTCAGCAAACTACATGTGCATGGTACAACTCGACACCATGCCTTGCCTCCTACTGCTGTACCTTGCTGAGCACTGTGTCCCAGGATGGGTTTAGTGAGATGGCATCTGATAAGCACCACCATATGGCTGTATATACTTAGTGATAGCCCAAATAAAATTCCATTTACAATTTTGAAAAACCATTCCCTGGGAGTGAAGTGCTGATAGATGCCACACCATGGGTGAACTTGGGAAACATTCTGCTAAGTACAAGAAGCCAGGCACAAAAGGCAACATTGTATGATGCCATTAATATGAAATGTTCAGAACAGGCAAATCAATAGAAAGAGAAAGTAGATTGGTGGTTGCCAGGAGCTGAAGGAAAGGGAGAATTGAGAATGACTGCTAATTGGGTATGAGGTTTCTTTTAGGGGTGATAAAAATGTTCCAAAATTGCATAGTTGTGATGTTTGTACAACCTGTGATATGCTAAAAAAATGGAGTTATACATTTTAAAATGGTGGATTTTATGGGATGGAAATTTCATTGCTATAAAACTATTCTTAAAAAAGAATAAAAACTTTTTTGAGAGGTTTCTGTGGAAAGTTTTGACATATCAGTATGCTGAGATAGGGAGGTTAAAACTGAATTACATAATGATCAAGTGATGAAGTTAATAAAGAGCTGAAATTTAACTTAAATCTAGTGTTTCCTTAAATATTACCATATGCTGGATTTCCTTGATTATACATAGCAAGTACAATAGATAATTAACACTCTAAAAAATCTGTTTTTACATATAATACACAATTTGAGAGTGCGTTGCTGCAAAGCAAGATCAGGCATTGCATGAGATAGACTACAATTCACAGGGGTGATTAAGGTTACATTGAAATTAGTTGGAAGGTTACCCTATTATCACCAGCATTAATTTCTTAAAAAGTTGTTTGAGAAGATGTAGCTTACTTTGAATAGTGGTTAATTAAGTCATATTATTAAAATGAGATTTTTCAAAAATATTAGCTTACCAACAATTCATACAGAGTTATGATTTAAACCAGATTACTGGAACTGTAGCACATGATGCTAGCTTATATCAGAGTCAGTGTTTGTGGAGAGGGTTATAAATTCATTTCAAAGATTGACTTAGTAAAACCAGGTCATGAGTTTAAAATTTGTTACTTAATGTACAATGCTTTTAATTTTTAACATTTTTTTTGTCAGCTATCCTTTTGACAATATGAAAGAAGCTATGGACCCTCACTGTAAAATGTATATGTACAGATACCTACATTTTTTTTTTTACACATAATTTTTAGGAGGTCTACTCTGAAGTTCGTTCATGGACCCTTCACTGTATGCTGAGAACTCCATACCTATATGAATAAAAATTTAGTTCTTTCTAATGCTTGCTTAGATCAACTGAAGCTATTGTCAATAATTCTGTATTTGATGAGATGCTTATTTTTTTTCTTAGGGGAAAAAAAAAGCACTTGCATATATCTTAGGCCATGGGCACTCACCCTAGCACCAACTGTGCCAGTTCAAGATTGGACTTTAATTATCATGTCTCTTTGAGATACAACAATTACTTAGCGGAAGCAGGATTGTGTGGGATTATAAAGTATTCAATCACCACTAAAACAGGAAGCCTCCCTTAATCAGTGGCCTCCCATGTTCCCTCTGCTTATGCTTAAATAAGCAGCTCTACAAATAAACATTCAAGTAGCATCTGAGAAATTTTCCAAATGTGAGTGGCCTAACCCTTTAGGATACACCCAGTCCCAGACTATTGCATGAATCCAGAAGATTCGAGCAAGCAGTGCCTTTCAGTCTGAATTCTTCACAAAGAAGCCTCAATGTTTTCTCTCTGTTGACCAGAAGTGATATATTTAGTTATCCAGAAGGGTAGTCAATCTGCCAGGGAAAATATCCTGAAGAAAATGAAGCAGGGGATTATGTTGGGCAGACCTGGGTGTTGGTGTGCCTGGGCCTTGTTTTAAAACAGATTCCTAACTCAGTCACAAAGTCTCATGTCCATGTGTTTTCCTGGGGAGAAACTTCCAAGGCGGCAATGTGAAAGCTAACAGACTTGATGAGGGAGTGTGTAGCCATCTGGTTTGCTCACAAGCAGAATTGCTCTTTTTATCAGAATTATTTTCAGATTTTTGTATGGGGGAGGAGTTGGCCATCTTGAACACCAAGTGAATATTAACCCTCTACTTTAAAAGATTCTATTAAAAATTCTTCTAATAAGGATACTAGGAAAACTTTTTTTTTTTTTTCCCCTTGAAGAGAAAAGGGAGACTTAGTGAAACTGAGTGAACAATGTCCAGGGTGGAAGGGGGAGATGCTTCTCAGTGGGACTTCCCAGTGACTCCAAAGTTTAGAAACAAAGCTATCCCCAGGGCTGGCTGCCCCAGGATGCCCTCCTCTGAGCTCTCCATTCAGGTGGAAATAAGAGTTGGGATCTAATCAGGTGACTCCCAGTCTCTCTAAAGCTGTCTTAGTTTATTGTTGGTGCCAAAACTTTTGTGTTTCCCATCCCTCCAGCTGAGTTAGGTGAAGGAGGCATTTAATAACATTTGGAATAAGTTGCTGTAGTAAGTGAGCTCCTGGTTGGAATGCCCCAGTGTCTTGCAAAGGGACCCTTGAAAGTGCTAATGCTTTTTCACAATTAGTAGAGCAAATGAAAGGCAGCAGCTATCAGTGACTATACATGCACTAACACTTTCCCTCTCCCTTATACAGGGCAAAATTCAGAGAAAGAAGTCAGAGCCTGTGTTGTAAGGGTGAAGTCAGAGGAAAAACCACAGATGCAAAGGGCTGAGAGTCGACTCTTCTTTTCTTGTATCTTCTTGGTCAGTGTTACACTGATAATACTAATCAGTGCCTGATAAACCAGTGGCTTGTTTACCTTTTAAAGGTAGAACCTTGTTGGTTAACCAGATAGATTAAATTCTGATGCTTCCTTTGAAAGGGAGAATAATAGTAATATAACTTTAAAGGAAATCTATTTAGTGATATGACCTTGGGTTCCAAGAACATATGAAGAACGAAGAACAAAGCATATGTTTCTTTTAAATTTCTAGATGAACTTGAACTCCTGGCTTTATCCATAGCCATTTGCTTACATAAAATGAATTTTGTCTCCAAAATTATTTTCCAGAATAAAGGAAGTTGCCTTTCGGATACATCCATCTTGATGAAGTTATTCTTTGTGCTCTTTTAATACCTGAATTTGGATCAACACCAAAAACCATGAACAAACAAACAAAAACACCAAACAAACAATAAAAGACTATTGTTAGTGGAAGATGCTTTGGGGTGAAATGATCTTAGTTAATATCTATTCTGGATGTTTGTGGAGGTCATCTGCCAGAATTGATTTAAAAAAAAAAAAAAGAAGAGTAATGTGTCATTGATACATTACTAAGTCTCTAAGTTAGCCATGAAATGCAAGTTTAGATATTTTTACAAATGAGCCTTTTTGACAACACATAAAAAAAATGCAAGTCAGTAAGTAGCATATGATGGAGATGACAAATACGGACCTAAAGAAATGGAAAAAATGACCAAATATGATGCTAATGTGTGTTTGTGACCTGAAAGCTTTCTAGGGTCAGTAATGTACATGGACCTCAAAAGCGTTAGCTTTTGAACATCTCTTAGAAGGAAGTGACAATGATGTGCTGAAAACTGTTGGATTAGTCATCATGACAGTGGTAAGGGATAACATTATTTTATGAAGTGGAAGTGGAAAAAAACTCAATATTTTAAAAATCAATGTTTTATAAATTTATTTATTTTTGGTACTGGACACTGAACTCAGGGGCACTCAACTACTGAGCCATATCCACAGCCTATTTTGTATTTTATTTAGAGACAGGTCTTCACTGAGTTGCTTAGCACCTTGCTTTTGCTGAGGCTGGCTTTGAACTTTTGACCCTTCTAGAGAGCTGCTGGGATTACAGGCATGCACCACCACGCCCAGTTTATAAATTTAATTTTAAATCATTATGCATAACTAACACTTTGAGTAGATTTTTGACTTATGTGTCTATATCCCTAAAAGATATTATCTTGGTAGCCAAAGAGAGATTTCTTAGAGTTGTTATATATTTTGGCATTAAGGGAAGGTAGTTCTATCATAGAGCCACAAATCTTGAGCGATTGTGTGTTCAAGGGGGATCTTTCCCATTTCACAGATGAAGAGACTAAGTTAAGCTATTAACTTAAGGTCACATGGTTGGTGGAAGAAGGGAATTAGAAACGGTTTTAACATTTTTTTTATACTGTTCTCTCAGTTGAGTCTTTCTTTCAAAATAATAAACAAAATGATAAACAAAAAATAAACAAAATGATAAACAGAGAAGAAAAATAAAGACAAATGGTCTCAGGTTCTCATGCTAAGGGAGAGACTTACCTGTGAGAAGCCATTGCTCACACACACACACACACACACACACACACACACACACACACACACAGAAGCCCTTCATTCCAGCCAGGTGCTACCTGACCTCTGTGAGCCTCAGTCTTCCAGTCTGAAGTTGCCTTTAGCAGGATAGGAAACAAAAAGCTCCATGCCCACTGCAGCTGCTTCCGTAGTGTGTGGGAGTCACTCCCTCAGAATCACAAGTATGATTATTATTTTATTAGTAAATATTTATTTTTTAGTTGTAGTTGGACACAATACATTTATTTTTATGTGATGCTGAGGATCGAACCCAGGGCCTCGTATGTACTAGGCGAGCACTCTATGGCTGAGCCACAACCCTAGCCCCACAGGTATTATTGTATTAAATGCACTGGCCCTCCCTTTCTCTGCAGGCCAAAGAGCAGCGTTACCTAAAATCTACTTGTGGAACAGTTCTACAAAATCATGGCATTGGCCTCATGGATTATGGAGTCTGTAACCTGTAACTCATAATGTGTGTGCTAAGAGATTTATCAGCAATAGGGAAGTCCAAAAGAATATGAGAAAAAATCATCCCCAAAGGAAACCAGCCATTCCCTGGGGCTTTGAATGTGTTGGATTCTGATCAAACTAGCAACTCAAATGGGAGATTCCAAGTTCCCTTTTACACAGAGTGCTTCTGATTTATTAAAATACCTAAAATATTCAAAGAAACACACATTAAAATGGTTTTCCCTAAATAGCATCCTGTTGCCACCACTCAAGGGATTGAGAGTAGGAAGTACTCCGGGAAGTAAGGTAGGAATTCAGTATTAGATAAATGGGAACAAGCCTGGTATACTGTTGGTGTGAATATGTACACTTGGGCATGTGCGCACGCGCACACACACACACACAGGGTCAACAGGTACAAGCTAGGTCATCAAGGAAGATTCCGTGCTGGAATCAGGTGGGAGTTTTGAGATGTGGTGATCATCATTATTGACTTCAGGTAGAAGAAAGGACTTCAGTTAAGCCTTCAAGGATTGGGGGTGGTAAAATGGATATTGTCTTTAGCCAGAGGGGTCCATTCGACAATTAGCTGTACTCATAAAAGACAATTTTATCTTTTCTAGCACTTCTTATGGCATGTTCCTCTTATGTAAAATGTTTTAAACTACCTAAATAAAATTCTCTCCTCAAAGAAATACTATTTCATCATGTTGGTTTTAATAAACAATTTCCTTTTCATTTATTGTGATTACCTCAAGTTGCTGCTCTCATGATCAACAACTATTCTTGAAGTTAGTGTTTATATAATCTCTATATTTTATAATTTGACCATCTTTTTACAACAAGGAGTGGGGTTTTGAGGCAATATATATTTGGAATGGGTCATCACAGTATGAGTTACAGGAGTCATCCGCTTTCCCATTTTGCCTCCTGCAGGTTTTTGACCACCTCCCCCGTCCCCCAAAAAAGATTCGATCAAACAATCAACTAGATTTTTAAAATCTTTTTTTTTTTTTTTGGTAGGGGAGGAGGGTATGGGGATTTAATCCAGGGGTACTTTACCACTAAGCTACATCCCTATTTTTTTTTTTAATTTAAAGATAAGGCCTCAGTAAGTAACTCAGGGCCTCCCTAAATTGCTGAGCTTGACCTTGAATTGGCAATCCTCCTGTGTCATCCTCCTGAGATGCTGGAATTACATGCATGCTCCACTATACCCAGCTAGATTTTTAAAATTTTACCCTCTCCCCCCACCCGAAACCCACAAAAAGTTAATCTTAGGCCAAAACTATGTAAGCATTCATTGTGGTTGAATGTATTTCTAGTGTCTCTTGTTCTAGGTCTATTTCAAATGGGGGAAAACAAAAAGCAAAAACAATTAAAAAAAAAAAAAAAAGACCAAAACACAAAGATCCCCATCTGTGGATGTGAAATATACCTGCTGGGAATCGGAGATTCCTGCACTCAGCCTCTATCCTTGACTCAATGAGTTTCTAGGTACATTGTCAAACTTTTTTTCCTTAATCTGAAAAATGTGAAAAAAGAACTTGTAATACTGTTCCCTTCTGTCATGACTGAGGAATATCAGTGACTAAGACATGCTTCTCTAATGGTATTGTTAGGGAAGGAAAAATACAATAAAAACTGGTGGGAAGTCTCAATAGATATATGCAATCCAGCTAAGAGAGCTGGATTTGCATATATCCTGGAATTAGAATCCCTGGTGAAGCTTATTTCCATTCCTAAGTGCAAGAATCAAGTGGTCTCTGTTCTCTTTGTGTGCTTCCTTTTCATCTGCTATCTAGTTTGAAAATAAGCTCTTGGGATCTCTGGTTACCTTTAGACTTTGATGAAAAGTTCAAAGCAGGCATTATAACCTGAGAGTAGGTAGAGAAATAGGTTGGGTGACCCAAACAGTCCCTGGTGATCGGCCCAACCAAGGCTATTGATTCTCAAGGATGAGAAGTCATAGGCAGAATGACCAAGTAGCAGGTGGGGAGATGCACAATTAATGTATTCCTCAGTTAATGGTTCCTCATACAATTCCTGTGCTGGACTTAAAACTAACAACAGATGTTCCCCCAGGGAGCTTGCACATACTTGTTCATAGCATGTTTATTCATAATAACTCCAAATTGGAAACAACCCATTGGATAAACAACTGGGGGGTACACTCATGCAACTGAATGCCACACCAGCAATAAAAATAAATGGACTACTTTCTTTAAACAAAGCAAATTGAAGACCTTTACAAATAGGACTTTTGTATTAGATTTCTATTGTTGTATAGCTGCTCAACCTAATTTGTCCCACCATCCCAGATATGGAACATCTATAAAAACTTAAATATAGGACTGGGCATATAGCTCAGCTGGTAGAGTTCGAATTCAGAAGGCCCTGGGTTCAATCCCCAGCACAAAAACAACAACAAGAACAAAAACACCACCCTTAAATATACTAATATATTTAATATAATATCTCATATAATTATAACATAATGATTATAATAATATTTTTAACATTAATAATTAATATATACAAGGTCTAGATTATGGTTCCCAACCCATTTTAATGTACTTATGTTAATTTAATTGACTTATTCCCAGAATTGAAAACTTGAGACTTAATGGATTAAAACAGTACCCATTTATTAACTCACAGTTCTGAAGGTCAAAAGCCCAAGCACAGCATGGCTGGGTTCTCTGCTTAGGGTCTTAAAAGGTTGAAATCAAGGTGATGAGTTCCTTTCTGAGGGCCCTGCAGAACTGATTTCCAAGCTCATTCAGGTTGCAGGCTGAATTCAGTTCCTTGCTGCTTTAGGATGGGTCCCTGTTTACCTGCTGACTGTCAGCAGGGGGCTATTTTTGGCTCCTAAAGTCTGCCTGCCTCCATTGCTACAAGATCCCCTCTGTTCTCAAAGGTAAAATGGAAAATCTTGCATTGAACTCTCTCATGGTTCCAATCTCTTCATTTTATATATAAATAAATGTTAGATGGACACAATACCTTTATTTATTTATCTTTATTTGGTGCCGAGGATTGAACCCAGGGGAGTGCTCTATTACTGAGTCACAACCCCAGCACCCCCAATCTCTTCTTTAGTAAGAACTCTGTCCCACACAAGGGTAGAACTGGCATAATCAGATGAACCCTTGGTTGTTTATATAAACAACCAAGAAATGGTAATTGACCATTTCAAGCCCGACTTATTTGGGATTTTAGTTATAACTGTCAAATTACTTCCTAGTAGCATCTAGATTTGTGTTTTATTGAATACTTTGGAA